GTTATTGCAAGCATATCATTTCAAGTTTCATTACCCCTGGGGATGTTAAACATACATATATACCTGATTGTTTCTAACAAAGCCTTTCTGCACTTTAAGGTTTGTCAGAATACATTAATTAACTCAGTTCCTTGACATTCAACGTTCCAGGCGACGCTGGACACAATTAATTACATTGCTGAATGGTGTCACGTATTAAATCAACAAGAGGCCCTCCTTAACCTTTCTGTTGTTCTAAAAAGGACATAAGCAAAACGATTGTCTTTTTATATTAAGTATCCTCCACAGCCAGTTTTAAAACCCCAACTAAACCCCTGTCCTCCGTTAATGCATACATGATGCAATTTTCATTGTAATAACCGACAAATTCTTAATAATAGATTAATTTTATTGAAATATTGACACGATTCAACGGATTGTAATAAAATGCTTTTAAATATCCCTTCAATAAGTTTCCTAATTTCAAAGTCATGGCATCGTGTCCTGAGAACACCATATTATTTTATGTTCTTTTTAATTTTAGAAATGGTGAACCTGTTCGTGTAGAAGGTACCGCTAGAGCCGTGAATCCACACGATCCTGCGAGACTTTCCGTCACTTTTTCTCCTTGTAAGTACATCTTTGAAAAAATAAAATTGACCATAAAAGACTCTCCATATATCTAGATTCAGATATTGATTAAATAGATTCAGGCAGGAAAAGCTAGTTAACGGGGTTAGTTTTAATACTGTATAAATGATAAACACAATTTTCTTCATCCAACGCTTATTCACCGTTTGCACAATAGACCTTTTTCACCATTAGTTCTAATTCACCATTAGCACAATTGTCCTTGTTCACCGTTAGCGCAATAGACCATTTTCACCATTAGCCCAATAGACATTTTTCAACATTTGTCAATTGTCCATGTTCACAATTAGCACAATAGACCTTTTTCACAATTCAATTTAGAACATTTAGACATTTTTTTCACTACAACTACTTGTTCACCATTAACAGAATTGTCCTTGTTCATCATTAGCACAATAGACCTTTTGCACCATTAACTCAATAGATCTTTTTCACCCTTAGCGTAATTCTTTTACCAGGATTTTCCTTGTTACCGTTACATGTAGCACAATAGACCTTTTTCACCATTAGTAGAATTGTCTTTTTTTTTTACAATAAAAGCATATGTCTCTTTGATCATCATTAGCACGATTGTCCTTGTTCACCATTAGCACAATATACCTTTTTCAACATTAGCACAAATGTCCTTATTCACCATATGTGCAATAGACCTTTTTAACCATTAGCACAATAGACCTTTTTCACCATTATTTCTTATCAACCATTAGCAAAACAGACCTTGTTCACCATTAGCACAATATACTTTTTTCACAAATAGCACAAAAGACTTTTCTCACCATCAGCAGAATAAACCTCTTTCTTCATTAGCATAATAGAATTTTTACCATTAGCACAATTGACTTTCTTCACCAATAGCACAATTGACCTCATTCACCATTTGCACGATAGATCTTTTTTACCAATAGTACAATTAACCTTTTTCAACATTAGCACAATTGTCCTTATTCCCTATTAGCACAATAGACCTTTTTTACCATTAGCACAATACCTTTTTTCCACATTAGCACAATTGTCCTTGTTCACGGTAAGCACAATTGGCCCTTTTCACCATTAGCACAATAGACCTATTTTCCCATTAGCACAATAGACCTTTTAAAGAATTAGCACAATTGACCGTCTCCACCATTATCACTGTAGACCCTTTTCACCAATAGCACAATAGAGTTTTTCACCATTTGCAGAACAGACCTCTTTCTCCATTAGCCCAAATAACATATTTCACCATTAGCATGAGTGACCTTCTTCATCATTAGTGCAACTGTCCTCATTCACCTTAGCACAACTGTCCTTTTTCATCTTTAGCAAAAAAAAATCACTATTAGCACAAGACCTTTAAGTACAAATAAATCTCTTACACGATTACATGTGGTACAGTAAACCCTCTCAGCACTAGCACAGTTGTCCTTGGCACCATGGGTACAAAGCACAGTTAAGTCCATTTACCATGATTCCTATTTTCATCATTAATCATTACCACAAATATCGTTATATTCAAACAAAATCACAAATTTCCTTATTCAACATAAGCACATTTGTCCCCATTAACTATTAATATAAATTACATGATTGGGCATAAGCACAAACGTCCTCATTTACCATAAACACAATTTTCCTTGCTCACAATATAATTCAATTACTTCATTTATACATGTAAATGTTTTATATATCAGCATCAACACTGCACATTAGTATTTCTTGTTCTTACTCATGAAAACAGATAAGATATACACTTTTCTGATTATCACTAAACACTGATAATTCTTATGCCAAATGTTATTCTTTACCGTAACTGTATGATTGCACATTTTCTCATTTAAGTTATACCAAGAGCACTATTGAAATTCGCATTCTTGAGCATAATTGTAATGTTTCTTTTTTGAATTATTGTCCCCATTTACCTTATTGATAATTGCCATCCTCTTTTAACATGTTTTAAAATATTTACGAAGGAGCTCCTTGACTCAAAATTGTTCAACTTATAACATAAAGTTATATAACTGTTCCGAATGAGCTTAAATGCGGAAATAACAGAATATTCAAATAATCTTTTCGAACATATATGCAATTACAATTTTCAAAGAATCCCCCCTTAAATTTATAATATTTTATATATTGGATATCCATCATTTCAGTCCAGCCAGTTGACCCCAATGGAAACTATTGGGTCGTTAAAACCGACTATAACAACTTCGCCATTGTATATTCCTGTCGGCAGGAAGGGCGGAGTAAGTCCGGTAAGTATGATTGACAATGTCTTGTCAGGAGTTGTCGTTCCTTTTACATAGATTTACCAAATGCATTTTTCGTTCGGTAAAACTTTGCAACTGACCCAACTGGTGAAAAATTACAGTTTATTAATTAGTGCTTGGAATTGATTTTTTTGACAGAAAATGCTTACATTCTACTACGAGAGCCGAGGAATCCTAATGCTAGAAAACTGAGGTCAATCTACAATTTTCTTAGAAGCTATCGAATAAACCCGAGGAACTTCATCCGAACAGATTTCCGACAATGTTTACAACCATATCCTTATAGGAAGTAGTGCAAGAAAGACTCCCATGTAGTCGAAGCAGTTTTCCATGTTTTCTTTAGAACTTTGAAGAAAATAATTTTCAATACAAGGAAAACTATCCAAGTAAATCAATTCATTATATATATCATCGCAAACCTAACAACATTGCAAAAACAGATATTTTCCCTTCCCTTTAAATTTGAATAATCAAAATACATGGGGGATCTGAGCGCCATAATGATGAGTGTTTTACGTTTGTCATTTATGTTTCATTGTATATGTTACAGTATGATTTTTTATGTGTTATTCTTTCATGTTAACTTCAATATTTAGAATTAATAAATTAGAATAAACAAAAATATCTTAAATGAAAATTTTTACATGTATATAAAAATATTATGATAACGAACATTCATCGAGATCACAATTTCAACAAACAGATATGTGAACAGGGCATTAAACAGACATACCTAAAAAAAATTCAGAGGTAGGATAAGTTGACTAGAAGAAGAAGGCGTTCACTTTTGACAAGTCACATCTTAAATCAGCATTAATCAAGAAGACGGATTACTCAACATTCGCATAAAAAACAAAGGCCAAACCGTTGGTTTTAAAAAAAAGTCAGACAAAACACTAGCCATTGATAATACATTTTGTTAACAGGGTCATTATGTCGACCATAGAAGTTTCGAAATGCTGACTGTCAACGAGTTTATAAACAATTCTGTAATATCGACTTATCTGTCAGTAGCCTGTCTCATTTTTATATAGATTGTTATCACAATATGCTTTTTAATACTGAGTAATTATTAGGCGTTTCCCAATGAACAGATTAATAGGAGAAGACCTCTACAGCTCTACATACATGTACAAGAAATTAAAATGATGATGGAAAAGCTACATGACATCAAACTGTTTCTTTTGCCTTTCAGTTGTTATTTGAATCTTATGTACATAAAAAACATATAAATATGAAAAAAAAGTAGTAGACTCTGGTGTGTCTTTTATTTATCTTTTTAAAAGGGTAACACATAATCTTACACATTAGTTTAATACTTGTATTTTTTACTCGAAGAATATGTCAGTGCTAAACAAACAACACCACTTTATGATTAACTTGATGACCTCATTTTTTCTATCGCCACTATCTCTCATTTTTCTGGAATTTATGTCTCCAAGTTAAAAAGAAACTGTATGCTCTTAATACGAAAACATTCTAAATGACACAAGCCATTGACATGCAAACAAGTTGATGAAAGAAGAATATCAACATTTTCGTTTAATATCAGCACTTGTTCTGTGGCCGAAATAACGCCATTGTTTGCATATAAAAAAATACATCATTATAATATGCTGACTAATGAATTCTTTTTATACTTATTGTAAGACGAAAAATAAAACCTGCGAAATAAAAGTAAATCTACATAACTCAGAATATACAGATTTTAATAATATAATTTTGCAAGCAATTGGCCTGATATTTAGGTCTATGAGTAAAAGTATAGATGTCATGTATTTCTTTTGACTAATTTAGTACTATCCTAGTGTCTCATTGTTTATAACACGATGTACACGAAATCATGTCAGCAGTAAATTTATTTGCTGATCGCATAAAACTTAATCATCTTTACCATATTCTACACAGCTCAGAAAGGTAAAGATAAAGTCATTTTAAGTACTGTTCCACGTAAGAATCAGGCAGATAGTACTAATAAGCCGGTACAGTGAAAATCTGCGAATTCATTAAATCTGATTTTAATGTATTCATTTGGGTCTAAAATGAATGATAAATAATGATTTTGCTGTAATTCTTCATTCATCACCCAGCTGGGGATAAATTTGTAAAGGGGGGTGTTCTGTATACATTGTATGTAAATAGTGTATATTTCATGAAATTATTTCCTTAAAACCCAACAGGATTTGGAAAAACTAAATACATGAATACAATAATGATGGAAAGTAGAAATAAAAAATACTTTAATATTTTTGTGAAAATGAATGATTGCAAAGTTAAAGGGTAATCAAATAGTGCAATTTGCTACAATTCTTTGTAAGAATTATCTCCCTTGGGCAGTTTTTATAGGTGGCGCTAGTAAAATAAAAATGGCAGCCTCCATGGCAGATCGCTTTGCAAAATTGTATTGGAGCAATGGGCATTATTTATTGCAAATCTCTGGGTGAACTGACATAAATTGCATAAAAGGACTTCACAAGAACAGAACTATGGATGCAAGCACGTGTAAACGAAGTGAAAAATCTGATGAGAGATACCGTGACGGTGAGCTGTAGCAGCAACTTGTGTATAACATGTCTATGGAATTACTATACTCGTATTGATCAAGGTAATGACAATTTTTTCATACTGCCGATATCAGTATGAACAATGTCAGAAGTTCAACTACAAGGCCCTCCAGCTGAATGCAAAAGTAAGCCCACAGAGAGACCGTCCACACCGCTTAGGCACTTACTCAACTTGGAAGGTGAGAGCAATGTAGTTTTGAAAGAGGTAATAGATTAATTTAAAATAATTAATTTTTGGACAAAATTGACTTTTTTAAAAATGATTATTGATTACACTTTAAACAGTAATTTAAAAGTATATTGGGGGGGGGGGGGGGACTGCATGACCAGTTCATTTGGATTTGAAAGAACAAACCCTGCACAAACGGACTCGCGCAAACAGGTAGATGATGCGAACGGATACCTATGTTCTGTAATATACAATTGTTGTAAAATCTGGCCAGATTAAAGGTGTTTGAGGGTAATTTCTCAAGTATTTGATGATGCAGTCCATTAAGACATTACATGTATTGTGTTCACTTCTATATTAAAAAAAGTGAAGTAGCATAATTATATGATTTTAAAGACATGTCTTATTTAGTGTCTTGAAATTTTCAGGCATATGCAAGCAATATGTAATGCCAAGTGACTGAAACAGAAGAGTTTTATCTCACAGTCATGAACTGGAAGATGACGAAACATTTCAATGGTAAGGATCAGTCTGTGTCGTATGTAGAGATATGCATGTATGCTTAAATTGATGTATTTAAAATTAAGCAACACATGCTTGCACTTTGCACTGTATTCATTTATGTGATTTATTAACTGCAGGAACTTACTGACTTAGTATTGATGGGGGGCTCCCCCTTTGTTTTTACTACATATATTAAAGGAAATGTTTATTGAAAGTCCAGACCCCCCCCCCCCATCCCATACATAGTGACACACACACCCGTGTTGTACAGTTGGAGAAATGTAGTATTTGAGTGGACAATTTGAGATCAGAAGAAGATCACCCACCCCTCCCCTTCTAACACTAACATACACTCACAATTGACATTTAAAAGGATTTCTGAGTTTGTTTTTTTTTCCCCCCCCCCCCCCCCCCCCCCAAAAAAAAAAAACAGAACATCAAAAAATCCAAAAAAATGGTGCAATGTCAGTGAACTGTATTTGTCAAGTATAGCATGATGCTAAAAATAATATTCTCTGTTTTGTATGAAATTTTACACAAACAGTACAACTACATGTGGCATTTGTACATTAAGAAGCCATTCAACTGCATCAACATTGACCTTGACTTCACAATCACATTCCCTAGATTTGTGATTTGTGTTTAGCCCAGTTTCACAGAAAATATTCATGATATTTTTATGAAAGTTTATTTGCAGATTCATATTTTTGAGAGCATAAATATTTTTTATCATGTTTTTTTGCTATGACTTTGAGTCTTTGACTTGGTCAGGCAGGTCCAATTACATGTTTGTTTGAATCTATATTTGTTGTGACCCAGTAAATTGTACACGTTTCATGATTTCTATTTAAAATAAAATTTCATTATTCTTATATAATTTATTCAAATGTAATAAAGCAAATGCAAGATAAACATAAGTCCCATAATAAATGAATACTCAATACTGACTCCTAAACTTCAATTTTGATAAACCTTTTATACAATAAATTTCAATTGTTTGGTGATAATTGATAACCTTATTATTTCAGAAATCTCTGGAAATGACATCATCAAATAAACAAAGACTGGAGTTCAGAAGACCAGTTCAACACTTTGGATAAAATTTATCAGGCAGTGACTTTCATCTTCGACTTCCATGTATTTATAAGCACTAAAGATTACAGTTTTATGTCTTGGTATAAGACTATAAGAGACTACTAAACAAATGGTAGTTGTTGATTTCAAAAGAAAAACTGTGTTGAATTCTGATACTCTGTTTTACATATTTCCCAGTAGTGAGATTTTAAATGAAAAGATTTATTTTTCATGAATTCAACTTTGTTGAAATTTTTTGAAAGTCATTTGAATATATGATCAACCTGAATGGCAAACATGTGTAATGTGTGAAAAATATCGCTCAGATCATGAATATATTTACATGTACTAGTTATGATTGAGTGGTGATGATTGATATGTATTACATGTACAAAAAGGACAACATAAAATATATATCAGTGTGTAAATAAAAATCATGTTGTATATTATACAATTTAGGAAGATTTTCTTCTTCACTTTAATGATTTTTCTAATTGAAGAATACAGTATTCTCTGACCTCAAAAACAGCCTCAGATATTTGATATTTTCAGGTTTTAGCACTTTTGGATTATCTCCCCTTTTCAGTTAAATTAGAGCATCTTAGTCGGCAGACATAAAAATTATTACATTGATTAACTGGAAAAAAAAGCATAGAATTGTGTTGTATTTGAACTTGCAAATTTAAAACAATTGTTTTGAACTGTAATATTCATTTTACATGCAGGCATCTATGGCGTATACTGGACGTTGACAGAGAAAAGTAAAATCGCTCTTTTTTGTTAGAAATCATCCCCCAACCCACCCCCAATATTAATACATGCAATAATTTACACAAAAATGTTTTAATTTCATATACCATATAGTATGATGTCTTTTGCAAAAATGCAGCTTTTTCTGTTGGCTGTTTGATTTTTATATTTTTGAAAAAGTGAAAATCCTCTAAAATCTATATTTTTGTTTTTTGCATATTTGGATTATCTCCCCTTTGCCAGTATAAAATTAGAGAAATTTTACAGGGCATGAGTATGACAATACCTATTTTTGAAAAAGGTACCTGTGTTGTTGTATTTATAGTTAAAATAAAAAGAATTTTTTTTAGTTTCAGTTGTATACCCTGTATTTCTTTGGCATATGGACTTCGACAAAAATAGTATTAAAAAATTTTCTTTTTTGTTCGAAACTCATCCATAATATTTTCAGATGTTCATGATAATTTGCGCAAAAATGTTTTTATATTTTTATAAGCTTCAGGGTATGATGTCTGTGGAAATAGTACAGTCTTTTAATTTGAGTGTTGTTTTTTTTATTTTTTGATAGCTGAAAATCTCCTAAAATTGATATTTTCATGATTTTGCACATTTTGGATTATCTCCCCTTTTCAGTTCAAAATTAGAAAGTTTCACTGTTCATGAAAGTGTTTTGTTAAATTGCAAAAAGGCACTTGTGTTGTTGTATTTTGAATTGAAAATAATAAGAAATTGTTTAGAAATGTTATATTAATTTCAGATGTATATATCTATGGCATATACTGGACTTTGACAAAAATAGTGAAATTTCTCTTTTTTGTATGAAAATCATCTATAATTTTCGGATATTTAATATAATTTGCACAAAAATGTTTTTATACTTTTGTAAGCCACAGGGTATGGTGTATTTGGAAAAAACATAATCTTTTGATTTGGCTGTTGGGTTTTTATATTTTTTAATAGCCGAAAATCACCTTAAAATCAATATTTTCATGTTTTTGCATATAAGCATTATCTCCCCTTTTCTGTCTAAAATTAGAACACCTTACTGGACATAATTATATTACAATTATTTATGACAAGTTACTAGTTGAGCTGTATTTTAATGAGAAATAAACATAATTGTGATATCTTTTCCTATCTTGTTTTAATTCAAACTTGAAAATTGGCAATTTTGCATATTTTTTAAGGGAATTTCAGTCATTATAGGCCGAAAAGAGTATTTCTGTTGCCATGGAAACCAGACGCTGATTTGAAAAAAAAAATATTTATTTTAGGAAGTCACTAAGCATACTCTACCAGCATGCAAAGTTTAAAAAAAATCTGAGACACCTCATGTGCCGCCCCTTGCCTGATTCTTACATGGAATAGTACTTAAATCAGTCTTGACAATGCATTTCATCTTTCAAAATAATTTGAATATCCTTTAGGCCTTCCACGAAGGAAACACTTCATGACAGACGCAGGACTTTCCTCAAGGGACAAAAAGAAACAAGAGGCCCAGGGGCCAAATCGCTCCCTTGAACACTGTGGATGGGAAAAAGTGTGTTTACTTTTAAAAAGCTTTAAATTAAAAATGCAAAAGTGTTCCCGACCTACAAATAAAAATGAAGAGATAGGGAAAGTATGATTTGAACAAACTTGAATCTACACTAACTACATGTAAGGATGCTTACATTTTTTCCCTACAAGTTTGAACTTCCATGATGGCCCCATCCTACCCCTGGTGCCATGATTTGAACAAGCTTGAATTTACCGGTACACCAGTGGAAAATCACACATTTTCAAGGGGTCAAATTTTCGAAATTAAACAAAGAAACATAGGTTTTTTGGCATTTAATTTCGAGGTTGAACAAGCGTTGATTTGTATAATGCTTTAGAAAGAAATACGCACGCTAATTTTCGATTCCTGCCTACATTTTGGAACCATTTAATTCAAATTGAATAGCAATCTGGCCATAAAATCTTTGTTTAATACAAAGAACAGTTCAATGGTAATTGAGGAATTGTCTTAATACCAGCGCTAAACAGTATACTATCCATAATTCCAGCTCTTGAAAAAAGGGGGGTAAACGATATTTTCCATTGAAATCGGAGTTTCAGGCATCACCATATTTTGAAATAGTCTTGGATATGATTAAATGTTCCTTATATGTTTTTTTCGTCTTAGGCAAATAAAAAAAACATGAATATATCAATAAAATATAATGTTTCAGTTGTAAATTGCTTTAAAATTGGTGGAAAATAAACATTTTTATCGTATTTTGTCAATAAACATATGTTCCCCCCGTGTCACACAAAAAGCTTTCGTCTGAATTTGTGAAATATCATTCCATATTACCTGTAAAAAGGAATTTTTGTGACATTGGGGGAAAGATGTTTTAAAAATATTTTCCGTTTTCCGTTGATTTCTATAGTGAAAAACACAAGTTTTACCAATTTTTTTTTAGAGTTATCTCTCTTTGTTTTCCAAAATAAATAATGTTTTATGAAAATCCATCTATAAGAAATATCGAAAATTCATCAAATATGTTAACTTTTGAAAATTGACTTCGAAGTAGGCGGGAGAACAATACTATCGTTCGCAGTTCTTTTACTTTTCGAGAAGTGGTGAAATATTTGAGGATTTGAGGGTTACTTCATACCTCCAAAAATTTATACAAAAGTTAAAATAGGGTACAATTTAAAATTAGAGCAAAATAAATAGGAGCGATGGAATACTTGACGATTCATAAAAATGATATAAAGAGACTATTATAGAAATTGCATAAAAATGTTTGCATTAAACAGTAACTTCTGAAAAGTCACCGTCATGCTCTGTTACTCCTTTATGTGCATGCCTCTAATTATGTGGATTGCAAATTTAAAAAAAAAGCGACTACACCTGACATCGGTGCACATATATCAATCAATGCACTAGCTTGTAAACAGTTCTTCCGAAGGCTAATTATAGTCTTTTAAATAACGATAGTTGCCTAACAAATGTGCCTCAGAAATAAATGCACAGAAATAAGTAGTTAACACCAGGGTATGTATATCTTTATTAACTATCAAGATGTAAATCTTTCGTAATTTGCAATGTATATATGATTTCAATTATAAAACAAAAGAATCTTTTGTTAATTAACAACAAAAAAGCGATTTCTCTGTAGAAAAGGACATTTTATTAATTTTCAAAACGTTGGATAGATTGCTGTAATAATCAGGTATACTATTTAAGAATCAATTTTCATATGAATTTTAGAGTGTAATATAATTACCCAAATTAGAATAAGAATTTATAAATTGTTCATTGGTTCCTTCATAAGATTCTTCAGATGACGAAATGTGGCCATTTTTTCTACGAAGTCGTCACGCCCAAAAAAGGAACAATAGATATTTATTTAAAAGAATTATTGTCTCCGAGAATATACAAAACTATATGGGATATATGCAATATGCGCAATATACAGAATTATTTCAAAACTAATTTTACAGTTAAAGAATAAAAGATACTGAGTGATATACACACAACAGGTAAGCATTCATCCTAAGATATGTCATTTTCAGCTTTTAAAAAAAAATCATTCTTGTCATTTAAAGCATTCACCGCAATGCATTTATGTAAATATTTGATTTCCATTTTCACAATTGCACTAAACTCGATTTATTATAACTATTTTTAACTTTCCTCTTATTTGGAAATACTGACCATGCCCTTCAAAATGTATTGATACATATACTGTCTCACCATTTTGCAAATCCATATTTTGATTTTTAAAGAGTTATTTTTCCGCCACATCATTAAACAGCAATTTCTAAAACATGATTACATCAAAGTAATTCAATCTACCATGAGAGAGAATTCTTTGGAAAAACCTGTAATTCAAAATGTCTTTATGTTTAAATTATTTTAAAAGATACGAGGGTATTTATTCTATCTTTAAGCAAGCACAATGGTTCAACCTTCAGTATAATGGCATTGAAACGAACATGCATCATTCTTAAAGGAAATTAAAACGGGGTAGGAGCTCTCATTGACTGTATTTATGTAATTAATTCAATAGAAATGGTTTGGGGCAAATGTGGAACCTTTCATGAAAAGAAGGATGTTTTTCTTTACCCGGATTTTAAAAGTCCAAACATGCATGCCTATCAACTGAGAATAAATTTTTGTTGAGAATATCAAAAGATTAATTTATTCCCTTGCCTTGTATAGATGTGTAAAATAAAAAATTAAGTAAAACAAATCAATGATAATGATTTTAAAGTAAAATCAAATATAAATCATCATTCGATCACCTTTGAAATTTGAGAAATAAATTGCTTGTCATGAGTCCGGTCATATCTTAAACAACAACAAAAATAAGAAAAATATTATTGCTCTAATGTATTTAATAATATTTTATTGGAGAAATTGATTGAGCCATGTTTATGTCTTTATTAGAAACTTATTTCGACGTAAGAGAATTTCTCTATTTTTTTTTCAATTTTCTACGGTAATTTTAACAATTTGTGTTTCAGAAAATGATCTTTTGTGTGGTATTGTTATTATCAGCATCATTTGGGATTGCAATAGGTAAGTATTTCAATTTTATTGATTGTATCTACCTGAAATGGAGATTATTTCATGCTGTGCTACTTTAAAAATCATTATGCAATCACTGTATTCATTATCTATTTATTCTATCTTTAGGGACAGCACTTTTATTGCTGTACAATATGACGGTTTTCATAAGTATGATCTACTGCACATATTATTCAAAATTTAAGTGCAGTAACTGTCATTCCAATCAACATCAAACAAAGCTGGTTAAATCTCATATAATTTATGTTTTGATTTTGATTCACAACAAAAAATATGGATTTAGATATAAAGATGCCAAAGGGGACCAACGAGATCAAAGTCCAATACGTATAATACAATCATCTCCTTATATACCATGTGGCAATTATATCATATAAATTTACCCCTTTGAAGAGGTTGATCCATAGATTTATCGACTTCACAGAAAAGCATATCGACTGAGCATAGTATATATCTATCCATCGACCTCATCAAAGAGATTCACTTGTTATGAGTATTATCTGGGATCCCATAGAGGGGGTTGGTGCGTGCGCTCTACTCATATACTAAAATGAATTCATTGATTGAAATCTCATTGTAATTTATCAAAAATTTTTGATAAGCAAGGGTTCCTTTGTGAAATGTGTGAACCAAGGGTCAGGGGTTCATGTGTGGTAGTGGCTCTACTGATTACAGCTGACTACTACTGATTAGTTGAAATGCATTTTTTTGTTCCCCTACTCTGTCTATAGGTATTGAGTAACCAAAGTAAGAATGATAAGTGTATAGTTATGATAAGCAATGGTGCCTCTTTCAAAATTATGAATGCAATGACGTCTAGTTTAAAACATGAACCAAATTCAATCGTTGGAAAGTTGTTGGAAAGTTGTTGCATGATGCTCAGGTGACCTATGAGGCCCATGAGCCTCTTGTTTTTCAGAAACATGAAGTCATACACTGTAATAGTTAAATTGTGAAATTTGTACCATTTCTTGTTTTACAAAAAAAAAATTCCCCATTTTAAGAAACATCAAGTCTATATGCATTTCAGATTCTATAAATAGTAAATCAAGTCTTTCTGCTGTTATACTGAATCATGTGATCAAGTTTGAGCAAATTAGAGAGCTTGGAATAAATGATATAAATAATATAACGAAATATTTATACCTACAAGTTTGCAGCAAATCTTTCGGAATTAATGCATCATGTATCGTGATCATTGCAAGAATAACCATACATACCCATCTGTTGTGTGCAGCAAGTTTGCAAGAAACATTTAACACATTGCCTTGCATTTTTTAAATTCAAATTTTTATAATTTTATTTCACATGTGACTGTAAATATTAGGAATCATTGTCTAGTTTTCAGATATACCAAAGACATTGGCATCAGGTAGGAACGTGGTATAATGTATGCATAACAGACCTTTCCAACTATCGTTGATACCCTTGCAAACAAGTACCCAACTCTCAGTTGATTCGATACATGAGACTATGCTCTACGTATGGAAAATTTTTAAAACAAGATAAATTATCGAAAAAAAAATGAACAATTTGCTTAAAAAAGAATACAACGGTCTTATTAAAATTCTCGTTAAAACCATATCGAAAATTCTGTGGTCGATACATCACCTTGTCAGCAAATACAAATCAAAATTTAGTCAAATTCTGAATGACTATTTTCATACTAATTGTGAAGCCATTATAATCATACTGAAATGTTGACGGGTTTGTCTCTTATTTCTCAATGTTAACAGGTAGCACACTGTGGGTATGACCGGTCGGCAGGAGATGTTTACTCCTCAATGACACCAAATCTTACCTCTGAGGTTTTTGAGGACATTGTTTGCTCTGATCTAATTTTGTTTTGTTTAGAATGGACATTTCAGCTTGAATACTGTTTGTTATCTCCACATATTTCATTAAGCGTTTGCTTTAGATTTTCGACATACTTGTTGCAAACACAAAAGCTCTCCAAAAATGTAATGGTGTCGAAAAATTTTTGCAGAAATTGTAATTACATGTTAGCAAAGAATTTATTAATAATTTTCGCATTAGCTTCTTACATTTAGCAAAGCACTTTATTAAATTTAATCTTCCTACTCCAATAAAGGCGCTCTGTTGAATTCACAACCAAACGAATAACGTTTAATGTAATGATTGAAAATAAAGGCATTGTGCATATCACATTTCATCTCACTGTTTGCTTTTGAATTAAGTTTTTCCACTGTTTTTTTTTTTCAGTTTTGAGAATACCCAGTATGTTTCAATATATTATTTTTTAAAATGTTTTTTTTTCACATTCAAAGGTCAACAGGATCCGTGTTTAGAAAATGTGTATTCAACGATTCCTCACTTAGTGAAAAGGAATCCGTCATACGCAATGGATGCGGTACCAATATGTGACAGATACCTACCAAAACAATGGTATCGGGCGGGATTTCATAGCATGCCAACCTTCGGCCCGAAACTGACAGACTGTGGGACATTATATCCGTACTGGATGAATGGTATACAGTTATGTTTTCTTTTTCTTTAGTCACTGAATTAACATGCATTGAAGGAACTTTGGTTTTATTCATATACAGAGTTATAAACATGTGAATTTATATATCGATTTGTTTGGATTTGGCTATTAGTAACCTAGAATTACTTTTTATTAATTTTAAACCTTTAAAATTTATTGATGAATTTATTGATGAATTAGCTAATTTTTAAGTTATTAATGTATAATTAGTTAGCATATGAGTATAAATCAAGGCTTCGTGTATCATTTCTTTAAATTTCTTTAACCTCTTCTCAATTTTATGTATAGATTCTTAAACGTTTTAAAGCATCTGTATTTTATCTTCCAATTTAATTCTTTAAACGTACAGGTTGTATGGAAAAAAATTCAAGTCTTCCAAAATTAACGGTGTGTATATTGTCTTATTTTGATAGGATCACTTCCTGGTAATGGGACAGTTGCAAACGTCACAGTTTGTCAAGTGGGATTTGAGAACAAATGTGCCACTTCTCATACAATTCAAGTGAAAAACTGTGGACTGTACGCAGTGTACGAATTAACTCCACTGACTTCTTGCAATGCAGCTTATTGCTTCCGTGAGAAAAAAATATTTTTTACACATAAATCTCTAATTTTATTTAATTATGCCCCCTATCAAGGATTCAGGGGTATATAGTCTTTCTAGTCCTTCTATCTGTCTGTATATCCGGATGAAAAAATGTATATAAAGTTTGATTGGTTGAAGCTATCATTTATGGCTCTAATGTTTCACAATTACATTTCTTATAACAAGGCATTTCTTTGAATACCAACGTATTTGAACTTTTGATCTTGACCTTAGTGTACGTTCGACCAATATTTCAAGAATTGACCATACTTAAAACTTTGGCCATAACCATTGAACAAATGGTGCTAGGGCTTCCATCCTTCACATGTGTATTCCTTTTCCGGAGAACTTTACATAAATAATGATTTGAGTTTGCCCTACTATTAAACATTTTAAAGCACTGTACATAACTTTTGAACAGCAACAAATTGGATAATTCTGACCTTGGACATTGAACAACATTTGGGAAAAAAAACTTGGCAATAACCTTATTTTTGAAAAGTTGGTGCAGGGGCTTCCATATTTTACAAGTGTATAGATTTACAAGAGGTCCTTTACCTTGGTACAATCTAACACTATGTTTTCATCCATCGACCTTGAAGTGTTGACTCGCAGACTTCATCTTTTGTCAAAGGCTGTAATTACATCAGTGTTTAATTTGTATACGGTGTGCATTCGGAAGACCGTTTCCAGATCTTGAATCTTAAACTCATTTTCTGTTTAAATATCCATGTATTTTTTTCAACTTAAATATACATGTATGTGTATGCTCAAATTTTTAGTTTTTTTTTTATTTCAGAACCAAGCACAACATGTAAGTAACCAAAATAAGCATTGTTTTGCTTTCTTTAATTTTTACACAAGAGAAAGATTAATATATTAAGAGTAAAATCAGCAAGAAATTCTTTCCACAAGATCCATTGCAATCTTTAATAGACGTTTAAATAATCACGAGGATAATTTCCTGGAGTCATTTTCAGCATCATGCATATTGTTTTCATATATATATTTTTTTTCAATTCCGAGCACCATTTATTATTTTTTCATTACTTTTGACATGGCTCACTCATTTACGACCTCTTGTGACATTAATTTGCCCTATGAATTGATTTTGGTCTAATCTTCTAATCTTCACGCAATTTACTGACTAAGCCAAGAGGTTCTTGGATGTTTACTGTTCTATTATTTCCGTTCAAATTACTGAGTAATAATTCTGCACACAATCAAACCAAGCATCAGCCTCAAAAAGGAAAAAAGGATGTAATAATTTGAGTAAGAAGCTATTTGATTATATTTGTTTCCTGATTTTGATATCAGATCAAATAATGCTTAATATATATAATTTATATGTACTGATAATATATTTAATGTTCACTGAAAATCATAAATGAATCATCGAATGATAAAGCGTTTCTGTAGATCAATGTTATATAAATAAAGAGAGAGAGAGATTTTATAAATGAAATATAAAATTAAAGTTACCTCTGATTTTATTTTAGGCGTGGAAGGAGTGCCTACAAATATATCTGTCTCCTACTACAATGTTTCGTGGGAATCATTACCGAATGAAACTGCTCCTTATCGAATTCATAAACCGTCAGTGAATCTTGTATGCAACTTTGAACCTATCAATAACGGGGGACTACTTTATGAAGTCAATTGGTTTATCGATAACAAAGAAGTACTTAGGAATCAAACATTGTCCTCGGACGAAAGGATGAATGCAATTCTTAGTGCTAGCCAAATTCTAAGAATTAATGGACGAGCGGGATCTATGGTATGATTTTTTTTTAAATCGTCCTTTGTTATATTTGTAATTTTGAATAAGCTTGATAACATTTAACAGTACTTTGATAATAATTAAGAACAAGAAATATTGTGAACACACGATGTTTAATAAGAATTATCAAAATATTGCCTTTCTTCACCCTTTATTCTGCATGACAAAACTTTGAGTCAAGAATCTATAGTTAGATATTTGTTTTTCAGCTATGCATTTCCATCGCTTAAATTGATGTTTCTGTACCTAATATTTTAATCACAAACATTTCATGAGAGAAATATATATATATATATATATATATATCCAAAGTTTGTATATAATAAATTATATAATAGTCACAGACTCACTGTGTCCGCCAATTAATATTTAAAAAAATAAAAAAACGACAACACAAGTTGTAAAACGTTAGCGCTTTCATTCAAATTCTTCAGACGTTTTACTTTGAACATTTGACGTTAAAATGTTATGGTATATATATATATATATTATAATAATCAGTAGAATTATTCTCCCTGAATAATAGATGTCATTTTGAAAAAAAACGCTTTCGTAATACGAAATATTTATTTAGAGAGTTAATAATTTCATATATCACACGTATAAAAAAATAAGTAAATTTAAGTAAATTCAGAGTTAAACAATGACGTTACCTGAATAAAGAATTTGGATATTGTTTCCTGACAGGGATATCAATAACTAACTGTCAATTTCTCTATCAAGATCCACTGTGTGGTCGGTGCAAAGTTTAGAGCAGAGGATTCTCCTTGCTCATCTAAATCCAGTCCATTGTTTTTTGCTGGAATAAAGGTAAGGGAGATGAAAAAATCTTAATCTTTTATTAACATGCTAAATGAAGGAATTCCATGGTTTTTCCTTTTATATGAATATCAATTTCCAAATGTTGAGAAATAGTTGAAAAAGCTTTGCATAATTATTCATTTGTTTACTTCATTAGGAAGAGCTTTGTGACTACTCTATTATATGTCTCAAAACCTCCATTCATATAATTTTTTGCGTGTGTAGGGGATCGATTTCTTTAAATGTTTGTAAAAAATATTACCCATCCTTGTTATTTTTTAGTAGTAATCTGTTAAATTGTTACATTGTCATTGATACTTAAAGGTACTTGGACACAGATTTGAAGTTAATTTTTTTTCTATAATATTACGACTTATATATTGTAATAGCATTTCACACAAAAATTAATTTAAAATCTTATTTCGTTTCAAAGTTATTAAAATTTTAATTTTTTTGGCGCGTTTGATTGACACATCTTTGCACTTTCGCAAATTTTAACTTTATCTTTAATCCTTAGGAAAATTGACATTCTTGTTGTTTATTGATTAAAAATATTAATACTATAATCCAGAAAATTCAGAGTAGACAAGTTCGAAAGCAAAACAAACACACAATATATTGTCAGTCCGTGTAGTTGTTGTGAGCAGACTTTGGCGATTAAACGCACCCAGTGAATCAAAACACCAAACAATAGCAAAGCTTTCGCGCTGTTTACAAAAACTGTGTACATAACACGCGTGTGCTCGATTTGCTAAACTCTGTACACAATAAAATGACGATACTTGTGAAGGAGTTTTGCTTTCTAACATTTTTACTCTAAATAAAATTATTTTCCGGATTTAACATGTTTAAGTTTTAATGTTTCTGTTTTAATACACAACAAGATTGCCACTTTTCTTAAGGATTAAGAAAAAAGTTAAAAATTGTGAAAGTGAAAGGATGTGTCAATCAAACCCGCCATAAAATTAAAAGTTTTTATAAATTTTAAATGAAATAAGATTTTTAATTATTTTTTGTGTGAAATGCTATTAAAATATAAAATTCGTGATATTATACAGAAAAAATTAACTTCAAATCTGTGTCCAAGTACCTTTAACAAGAAGGAATAAAAGAATTTTTTATTCAGGGATAATCCCTGCGTAGAATTGCCATTTTTACGTATCAAAGAAATTGGTTGAAATTGGATCAACAGTTCTTGAGAAGAAGTCGAAAATGTGAAAAGTTCAAAGACAGACAGACGGACAGCTAGTCAGACAGACAGACAGCCGGACGCCGGACAAAATGTGATCAGAAAAGCTCACTTGAGCCTTCGGCTCAGGTGAGCTAAAAATGCAAGGCAATAAACTCATGATATTTGCTATCATCATTTTATTTTCAAATTTATATCAAATTGTGATGCTTTTAATCAATATAATTCTATGCATAAGTGACAGCAACTAGAGTGCTGAAATTTTATATTCCTTAGACTAATGTGACCTGTTTGATAGTAACAATGAAGTTTCTGTATAAGTTTTGTATCAGGAACAGGTCACATTAGTCTAAGGAATATAAAATTTCAGCACTCTAGTTGCTGTCACTTATGCATAGAATTATATTGATTAAAAGCATCACAATTTGATATAAATTTGATAATAAAATGATGATAGCAAATATCATGAGTTTATTGCCTTGCATTTTAAGCTCACCTGAGCCGAAGGCTCAAGTGAGCTTTTCTGATCACATTTTGTCCGGCGTCCGGCTGTCTGTCTGTCTGTCTGACTAGCTGTCCGTCTGTCTGTCTTTGAACTTTTCACATTTTCGACTTCTTCTCAAGAACTGTTGAGCCAATTTCAACCAAACTTGCCACAAAGCATCTTTGGGTGAAGTGGATTCAGGTTTGTTCAAATGAAGGGTCACGCCCTAATACAAGGGGAGATAATTGGAAATTAATAAAAATTTAGTGTATGTTTTAAAAATCTTCCCAAGAACCACTGTGCCAGGAAAGATTAAACTTATGGGGAAACATCCTCAGGTAATGTAGATTCAAGTTTGTTCAAATCATGACCCCCGAGGGTAGGGCGGGGCCACAATGGCCGACCAAAGTTTTACATAGAAATATATAGGAAAATTCTTAAAAATCTTTTAAAAAACAACAAAGCCATAATTGATCATAATGATATTCAATCATCTTCAGGTAATGTAGATTCAAGATTGTTCAAATCATGACCCCCGAGGGTAGGGCGGGGCCACAATGGCCGACCAAATTTTTACATAGAAATATATAGGAAAATTCTTTAAAAATCTTCTCAAGAATAAAGCAAAGCCATGATTTGTTATGGGACTACTTTTGGATTTAAACTTTTCAATAATAAACCATTTTCTACTTTTTCCTAGCCACAGTGCTCAGGTGAGCGAGTTGGCCCATGGGCCTTTTGTTATATTAAGGTTCATAAACCCTCTGCTCACTCATATAAAATGTTGCTTGAACCTCAATGATATATTAATAAATAATAAATATATTTCATAAGTAAAATGCAAATAATGGTAGCATAGCCTGCGGGGCAAAATTGGACAAAAAAGACACTTAAACTTGACAAATCTATGTAGGACTAACAGACATTTATGTCATAAAGAGTTATATCTCCTATCAGAGTATCGATGAACCTTAAATAAACGTTGGTTGATTAAATCAAATGACATATTCACAAATATATCTCGTAGGAAGCAGTTCTGATTTTGTTCATTCCGTTTACTCTACAGATAATCAAAACACAACTGTTCATTTCCATGTCATGATAATTGAAAGTTTTAATTTATTGTGTTCCTTCTTCGTTTTAGCTTTTAAAAGATAAGTTCGAAATTAAAAGGAACGAAAGCTGCCTTCTTCAATATCAGTTTACTATTCCGTTTGCCTTTAACACTGTGGTCATTAACAATACAGAGATAGATGCATTTTTATACATAACTACTGATGTTAACAAAGACGTTCCATCTGCATGCGATGATAACAACTATCGCAATTGCGAAACAAAAATAGCGTCTTACAGATTTAGCGAAAGGAGTCAATATGAAACAGATGAATGGAAGAGTATTCGAAACTGGACATTTTACAATACTGACGACAATGATTACAAATCTGAGAACCATCACATTACACTGCGGCTAATCGCAGAAGGACCTCCTGGTGATCTGCATACGGATCCAGTCAGGATTTTTGAGAAGATTCATCTGCCAGATGTAAAGGTACTCATCATTATTTCTTTCAGTATTGAAAAATACATTTTTTGAAAACAAAGAAATATTAAACCAGTATGGAAAATGTTTTCGCTGCATCTTTGACATAATTAGATGTTTTGAAGGTCCAAATTTGCGCTGCTCCTACGGTTTTAGCTACTTGAATGGTTTTATGGACATTTGTTGGGGTGGAATACTGTTCGTTATAATGAGCCCTATATAGGACAATAAATTACATCGTTTAAGACTTTTGAAGGTGACAATTTTGAAAAAAAGCACGTTTCATAAATCTTTGCTAAGGCATTGTCTTATTCCTCAAACAGTCGCCCGCGTGGCGCAGTGGTTAGAGGGTCTGCTCTAGAGTCGCGAGGTAAGAAGTCAATCTTTACGTCGCGGGTTCGAATCCCACTGTGGGACGTGGAGACCGGTCCTTCGGATGAGACCGTATAAACCGAGGTCCCGTGTCGCAGTAGGTGCTGGCACGAAAAAGATCCCTCCCTGCTCGATGGCCCTGAGTGCCGAGTATAGGACAGAATTTGTAGCTCTCCACCGGCAATGGTGACGTCTCTATAATTGTGCAAAAGTCTCGAGAGGGACGTTAAACAATATACAATCAATCAATATTCCTCTAATACTTTTTATATCTAGAACTGATTCAAATGCAAACTTAAAAATACTGGTTCGTTCAGAATTTTAGCTACCGAAATGAAATACAAGTCTGTAGGTATGCTTAACAAATTCTTACAGTATCTTTATACACAACTTCATGAAATTAATGATTTCACCTTTTAATACAGGGTCATGATTTGATAAAATTTAAAGCAACTCTTTCTTAAACTATTTTGAAGATAAAATTAAACATAAAATAAATATTTTGTCAAACTCACTATCATAAGCAAAATCGATTATGGTCAAGGTTTTTTTATTTATTCATTCTGAACAAATATAATCGAAATTAAAAATTTAAGGCTTTTTCTGCGTTATTTTGCAAACTTCTGTATAAAAAGTCAACGTCATAAAGTGGTTATAATTTAAGAAAATGTGTTTCTAAAGATATTGGTAACAGAATCCAGCAATGTATGGAAAGGACAACAATGCTCTTCAACAACTGATCCAAATATCCGTACCTTTGATGGGTTAGTAGTTAATAAAGTTAATAAAGTAGTTATGACGAAATTATATATATATATATATATATATATATATATATATATATATATATATATATATATATATATATATATATATATAATATATGCGTCCGGTCTATCGGGTATACTCGGACTTCACCGGACGGTATACCCGATAGACCGGACGCATTTCATAGCGGTCCGGATTTCTTTCTTCATTAGTGTTCTTAAAATTTCCAATTCAACATGTAATTTAGTATGTAAATATCTAGTGTTTAGTAGTTTAGTAGAAGTGCTAGTTGTTTTTGTTAATCTTTTTCCTTTGTTCTTATGACTTTTTAATTTTTTTCTTTGTCCTGAGGAAGGGACTGGGCGTCCCAAAAATTTGACAATTTTTATTGTTCGTGTCGTTGGTCACGTTGTTCACGTCATACAGTATATTAAATTTCTAGTTTTGCATGACATATTCACATTGACGGTAAACGTTTTACCACATTTAAATGTAAAATTTTCTCCGGTTTTTAAATAAGGGCAGGTTCCACACAGGGGATCCATACATTTGGCTACAGTGCGTTTTTCCTCATCCGATGAGAATCTGGCTCTTGTTAGGAGTTTCTTTAGGTTTGGAGGTTGGCGTCGGCTATAGATGATGCTCTTCGGGTCAATTAATTTTTTAAATTTTGGGATTGCTGTAAAATAGGAAAACACTGTTTTACGGAGTTATATGTATATTAAGGTTCCGTGGATGTCATGCAAAACTAGAAATTTAATATACTGTATGATTTGTACTTTATGCGGGGAAAACTATATTGGACAGATCGGTAACAAACTAGTTGACCGTGTAAGAGTCCATAAACAACAAATACGAGACCCCTCCGTCAGGAATACACCTTGCAGTGAACATTTTGATTCATGTGCGAATGGAAACTTTTTGATATTTCCATTTTATGAAATCACAGAAGGTAATGAACAATTACGGAGGGCCAAGGAAGATTATTTTGTTAAATTAATTCAGCCTAAATTAAATGTAAATTGAACATTTTAGCTCTAAAGAAATGGTCCATTTTATTACAATGTACATGTGTTTAACTCTATACATTTGGCGCTTTTTTGACATTTACCTGTGCAAATGTATAACGTTGCCTTTGTGACGTCATAATAACGACGTCATTACAACGAAGTTGTATTGTTTTTATTATCATTGTTACACTCTGAAGAGCCGTAACGGCGAAAGCGCTCAGTGTAAAAAATTAAACGTAAACTTGTTTGTTTATCTTGGATTTAATTTTGATTTATAACTTAACCTATACCATGGACTTCTACAACATTTTCCCTATTTATATATATATATATATACGTATATATACGTTTATCAGTTTGAGTAGAAAATATTTATCCAAAACAAAATACATGTCTCAAAATTATTGGCCACAGTAGTCATTAACGATCTTATTAATTTGAAAACTCTCTCTACGTGTATATAAATCTCCATTTTGAACTGAATTTTTGATAAACAGTTTGCTCACAGTCTTTAATTAAAATAAAGCTATCTCTGCCTTCACTTTAACATACCAAAGCTACAATGTTTGACACTGTGACTACTTTCACTAAGTTTGCATGGTAATTTTTTCCCATAGGGACTTGTATCAATGCATGTTGATTGGAACATTTCAGCTGTACAAAAATGAAGCTTATAATCAAGAAGTAAGTGATATCTATTGATTTAGAAGATTAAAGCTTCTCATGAGCATTTTTATTATGTAAGAATTAGTAAACAGATTATTTTGTATGTGAAAGAATGTAAATACACTGTACTTGCAAATCCATGGAAATTCTAAGATGTCATATTAATAGTACGGTATATCTTGCACAATGCATTGTATAATGTAATCAATTGTGTAATTTTATGAAATTGTGGGATATTCATTGAGTCTTCTTGCAAATCATGCGCACTAGAAGTCCCACTACTAATTTTTAATGTTTATTCCTTGTAACATGTTTTAACATAGTATTTTTAGTGGGGTTTTTTCACAACAAAGCGGAATTAGTAAAATAATACTTAATAATGAAAATTTACTTTGAGCATCAATAATTGAATTTTTCATGGATCTTTAAATTGTTTGATTATTTTAAATGGCAAGTAAAATTAAATCAGAGTCTGAAGAAAAGGAGGTCAAAAACAGAATATTTTTTATATATATTTAAGAATTTTTACGTACATGTACTTAGGCATTATGAATCTTTCCGCGATTTTCTTAATGTTAGACTAATTGAGCATGATTTTCAATCGCAAGGTTCAAGAAAAACACTATATGTGCCAACCAGATGCAGCTTGTAACTGTGCTGCAGCTGTGAGATCAGGAAGAGATATTTTCACAATAGATATTTGTAATGGAGGACAACAAATCATCAATTTTCCTCTATGCGATGACGGTGTTTTAAAAGTTGTGAAGAAAAACGACCGCCGTTATGAGGTAGGTATTGCAGTACTGCTTGATTTTTTTTAAATGATAACTAAAGAATTAGCTCCCCAGGCCCTTGACTTGAAAGCAGTCAGCCTCTTTTGTAAACTATTGAACTGTTCTCTTTTGAAATTTTAATTAAAAAAAACAATCAAACAAAATATTTAAAAATCGGAACAAATAATAAGGACGACTTAATCTCAATTTTTAGGAGCTACATATACCTGGTTCCAATGTGTTTTGCACTAAACAACGGTAATATAGACAGTCTCTTCTTTCATTATTCATAAAAAATCTCTTTCCGGTTTCTTTAACACTTTTTGAAAAAGTCACCTTCCATAAATAGAATACAATAGTTCTTAAAGATGCATGGATACAGATTTGAAGTTAATATTTTCTCTATAATATTACGACTTATAAATTTTAATAGGATTTCACACGAAAATATATTAAAAATCTTATTCATCTAAAAGTATTTAAACTTTGAATTTTTAGATGGGTTTGATCGACACGTCCTTGCTCTCTCACAAATATTAATTTTATTCTTAATACTTAGGAAAACTGGCAATCTTGTTGTGTATTAATGAAAAATTTTAATATCAAAATATTAAGCGCACATAATTATAGCAATTTCTCAAAACCCAAAGGGTGTCATTTATAATGTTCTGTTAACGTAAAATATCTCTATGAAGGACTTTAAACGTCCTACCAATACATTGTTCAAAGCAAAGGGCAAAAGAAAACAAACTTTGGTCAAATTTTGTATATATATTTTTCAAAAGCAAAGTATCATTTATGAAACTTTATTTCAAAATAGTACCAAATAGGGTACATTATTCAAACAAATATAAGTATATCAACATCCTAAATAAATGTAGACGAGTTTCTCAAAATAATTCTCTAATGATTACTCTTGGTTCAAGAAACAACCAAAGAAATAACTTACTAAATAAAAAAAATAAATGCAAATGAAATGTACGCACATTAATTTTGAAGAATTCCTATCAACTTTTCAAAAGCACATTTTTTCATAAAGAACAAAGCATACCGGTATATTGAGGGCAAGTCCTCTTAACGATGCTTAGATCATAGAATATACAACATAAGTAGGACAAGATTAATTATATACAGCTATGGTGGCAGAGGATAGTTTCGAATAAAGTACCGGTCAAAAAATAGAAAAAATAAAGAAACCTGAGGTTTGAAGGCATATTCTAGGTAATTTTATAGCTAGAATATTTTATGGGTGCATTTGGAGGGAACTGGTGGCCTTGTATATTTTATTGAAATATGACACTCTAGTGTCACTACTACTGTATATGGGATATGGACTAGAAATACGAAACTAAGCTCAAAACTCGCTCTACCGGTATTTCACCAGAAAAGCGGGGTGGGTTCACAGGATGAATTGTAGCTTGAAAACGAGGTGGTTGAGCCATTATCTCTTGCTGTTCATTGGTATGTACAAATGTTATTCTGCAATTTGTGTGGTAGCTTAGGTCAGGGGCACGGGCCTGGAAGCAGATGTGGCTGCGGCGAAATAGTGAAAATAGGCTTGATTCTCATGAAATTTTGAGATTGTCCCTGCGCCATCTTTGGGGCTTATTGTGTAAGTTGTACATGTTTTATTCCTAAAAGCTTCAAATTTCTCAAGGGACTACATCATACTATTATTACATGTAGAGGGAATTTAAAATTTTTCAATGCACATTTTTAAAGCAGCTCAATATTAAGTAAACCGTCAGTCAAACGTTTTGATTGCAAAAAAAACTATCCTCTGCCACCTTCAAGAATGCATCAATTTTTAGAAATGTGAATTTTAGTCTGATTTTCATACAAAAGGGTTTATTTATGTATGTCAATTTAAAAAAATACTTTGTTTCTGTTATTTAAAATCTGTACAGTTAGGTATATTCACTAAAAAGCAAGGGGGGTACTCTTTTCCAGCATACATTTTTAAAGACTTTGAACCATCAGCATAATAAATCATATAAGATTCAGGCATTTTTTGCCAGAGAATAAATCAATTGTTTGAATTTGATACTTTGGGTATTGTCGCATAATTAAAATCATGTCTTGCTTTAATTAATTAAATCTAATTAGAATTTAAGTGTATTAATTAGTGCGATATCACTGAAATTACATATATTTGCAATTTTTTCAACCTAATTTACTAAATATAATTATTTTGAAAATAAAAATCAGTCAGCATACCTAAATGTCACTAAACCTAACCATATATAGTACAAAAAAACTTTATTTGCTTTATTTTTCCAAATTTAACCTATTCTGTTATTGATATTTTCATGAAATATGCCCCCCCCCCCTTTTCAATTTTTCAATTTATCTATATTTAAATGTGACAGAATCTAAATTTTTCAATGGTTTGCTATAAAATGACTATTTTTCTTTAAATAATAACAAAACAAAGAGTTTATATTGCATATTTAATGAAGTAATATCAATAAAATGTGCATTCTCATGTAATTATTGACAGAATCTAAATTTTTCAATGGTTTGCTTTAAAATGACTATTTTTCTTTAAATAATAACAAAACAAAGAGTTTTTTCAATTCTGCTAGGCCCATATAATCTGCCCACAATTGCCCAGGATGGACAGAATAATCACTTTTAGTATTCAGGAGAATGAAATGTATGTATTTGATTAATCATAACTGTTAAAAGTGAATATCAGACACTTAGAAAGAATTCAGCTAGGACAAACAAATTTTTACAGTGCATTTTCATTACACTGAAGATATGGCTGCAGGGGTAGGGTGTTGAACAGCCATTTCCTGGACACTTTTTCTTTAGCATATGATGCAAGAGGGTTTTTTGCATATCATGATAAATATCTTGAAAGTTGAAAGGGGTTTTAACTTTGCAAAGAAGTTATAGGTATATAAAACCAAGTGAAAAAGAGATAAAATGGAATTTCATAGAACATGAAAAATAGGGGAGTATTTGATACATGTGAGTACATTTCACCAAGATGTGCCCTTTATATTTGACTTTTTACATATAAATGTACTTGAAATAGATTAAAATTACCATTTAACATTTTTTGCTGGTATATTTATCATCTGGAGTTGTTAGAATTGCATTTGTTTTATGTGTAAGAAACAATATGGGGTTAAGGTGGTTGACCGAGAATTGGTGAGGTCTCTTATTTGGCCATAACTTTTTTATTTTTCAATGAATCAAGACATATTTGGTATATTTTTACTCAGAATTGCATGTTCTTTTTGAATTGAGCAAGGTTTATTACTTTCAAGACAAAATTTGAAAGTTAAAGGTGGCAGAGGATAGTTTCGAATAAAGTACCGGTCAAAAAATAGAAAAAATAAAGAAACCTGAGGTTTGAAGGCATATTCTAGGTAATTTTATAGCTAGAATATTTTATGGGTGCATTTGGAGGGAACTGGTGGCCTTGTATATTTTATTGAAATATGACACTCTAGTGTCACTACTACTGTATATGGGATATGGACTAGAAATACGAAACTAAGCTCAAAACTCGCTCTACCGGTATTTCACCAGAAAAGCGGGGTGGGTTCACAGGATGAATTGTAGCTTGAAAACGAGGTGGTTGAGCCATTATCTCTTGCTGTTCATTGGTATGTACAAATGTTATTCTGCAATTTGTGTGGTAGCTTAGGTCAGGGGCACGGGCCTGGAAGCAGATGTGGCTGCGGCGAAATAGTGAAAATAGGCTTGATTCTCATGAAATTTTGAGATTGTCCCTGCGCCATCTTTGGGGCTTATTGTGTAAGTTGTACATGTTTTATTCCTAAAAGCTTCAAATTTCTCAAGGGACTACATCATACTATTATTACATGTAGAGGGAATTTAAAATTTTTCAATGCACATTTTTAAAGCAGCTCAATATTAAGTAAACCGTCAGTCAAACGTTTTGATTGCAAAAAAAACTATCCTCTGCCACCTTCAAGAATGCATCAATTTTTAGAAATGTGAATTTTAGTCTGATTTTCATACAAAAGGGTTTATTTATGTATGTCAATTTAAAAAAATACTTTGTTTCTGTTATTTAAAATCTGTACAGTTAGGTATATTCACTAAAAAGCAAGGGGGGTACTCTTTTCCAGCATACATTTTTAAAGACTTTGAACCATCAGCATAATAAATCATATAAGATTCAGGCATTTTTTGCCAGAGAATAAATCAATTGTTTGAATTTGATACTTTGGGTATTGTCGCATAATTAAAATCATGTCTTGCTTTAATTAATTAAATCTAATTAGAATTTAAGTGTATTAATTAGCGCGATATCACTGAAATTACATATATTTGCAATTTTTTCAACCTAATTTACTAAATATAATTATTTTGAAAATAAAAATCAGTCAGCATACCTAAATGTCACTAAACCTAACCATATATAGTACAAAAAAACTTTATTTGCTTTATTTTTCCAAATTTAACCTATTCTGTTATTGATATTTTCATGAAATATGCCCCCCCCCCTTTTCAATTTTTCAATTTATCTATATTTAAATGTGACAGAATCTAAATTTTTCAATGGTTTGCTATAAAATGACTATTTTTCTTTAAATAATAACAAAACAAAGAGTTTATATTGCATATTTAATGAAGTAATATCAATAAAATGTGCATTCTCATGTAATTATTGAATTCTGCTAGGCCCATATAATCTGCCCACAATTGCCCAGGATGGACAGAATAATCACTTTTAGTATTCAGGAGAATGAAATGTATGTATTTGATTAATCATAACTGTTAAAAGTGAATATCAGACACTTAGAAAGAATTCAGCTAGGACAAACAAATTTTTACAGTGCATTTTCATTACACTGAAGATATGGCTGCAGGGGTAGGGTGTTGAACAGCCATTTCCTGGACACTTTTTCTTTAGCATATGATGCAAGAGGGTTTTTTGCATATCATGATAAATATCTTGAAAGTTGAAAGGGGTTTTAACTTTGCAAAGAAGTTATAGGTATATAAAACCAAGTGAAAAAGAGATAAAATGGAATTTCATAGAACATGAAAAATAGGGGAGTATTTGATACATGTGAGTACATTTCACCAAGATGTGCCCTTTATATTTGACTTTTTACATATAAATGTACTTGAAATAGATTAAAATTACCATTTAACACTTTTTTGCTGGTATATTTATCATCTGGAGTTGTTAGAATTGCATTTGTTTTATGTGTAAGAAACAATATGGGGTTAAGGTGGTTGACCGAGAATTGGTGAGGTCTCTTATTTGGCCATAACTTTTTTATTTTTCAATGAATCAAGACATATTTGGTATATTTTTACTCAGAATTGCATGTTCTTTTTGAATTGAGCAAGGTTTATTACTTTCAAGACAAAATTTGAAAGTTAAAGGTGGCAGAGGATAGTTTCGAATAAAGTACCGGTCAAAAAATAGAAAAAATAAAGAAACCTGAGGTTTGAAGGCATATTCTAGGTAATTTTATAGCTAGAATATTTTATGGGTGCATTTGGAGGGAACTGGTGGCCTTGTATATTTTATTGAAATATGACACTCTAGTGTCACTACTACTGTATATGGGATATGGACTAGAAATACGAAACTAAGCTCAAAACTCGCTCTACCGGTATTTCACCAGAAAAGCGGGGTGGGTTCACAGGATGAATTGTAGCTTGAAAACGAGGTGGTTGAGCCATTATCTCTTGCTGTTCATTGGTATGTACAAATGTTATTCTGCAATTTGTGTGGTAGCTTAGGTCAGGGGCACGGGCCTGGAAGCAGATGTGGCTGCGGCGAAATAGTGAAAATAGGCTTGATTCTCATGAAATTTTGAGATTGTCCCTGCGCCATCTTTGGGGCTTATTGTGTAAGTTGTACATGTTTTATTCCTAAAAGCTTCAAATTTCTCAAGGGACTACATCATACTATTATTACATGTAGAGGGAATTTAAAATTTTTCAATGCACATTTTTAAAGCAGCTCAATATTAAGTAAACCGTCAGTCAAACGTTTTGATTGCAAAAAAAACTATCCTCTGCCACCTTCAAGAATGCATCAATTTTTAGAAATGTGAATTTTAGTCTGATTTTCATACAAAAGGGTTTATTTATGTATGTCAATTTAAAAAAATACTTTGTTTCTGTTATTTAAAATCTGTACAGTTAGGTATATTCACTAAAAAGCAAGGGGGGTACTCTTTTCCAGCATACATTTTTAAAGACTTTGAACCATCAGCATAATAAATCATATAAGATTCAGGCATTTTTTGCCAGAGAATAAATCAATTGTTTGAATTTGATACTTTGGGTATTGTCGCATAATTAAAATCATGTCTTGCTTTAATTAATTAAATCTAATTAGAATTTAAGTGTATTAATTAGTGCGATATCACTGAAATTACATATATTTGCAATTTTTTCAACCTAATTTACTAAATATAATTATTTTGAAAATAAAAATCAGTCAGCATACCTAAATGTCACTAAACCTAACCATATATAGTACAAAAAAACTTTATTTGCTTTATTTTTCCAAATTTAACCTATTCTGTTATTGATATTTTCATGAAATATGCCCCCCCCCCTTTTCAATTTTTCAATTTATCTATATTTAAATGTGACAGAATCTAAATTTTTCAATGGTTTGCTATAAAATGACTATTTTTCTTTAAATAATAACAAAACAAAGAGTTTATATTGCATATTTAATGAAGTAATATCAATAAAATGTGCATTCTCATGTAATTATTGAATTCTGCTAGGCCCATATAATCTGCCCACAATTGCCCAGGATGGACAGAATAATCACTTTTAGTATTCAGGAGAATGAAATGTATGTATTTGATTAATCATAACTGTTAAAAGTGAATATCAGACACTTAGAAAGAATTCAGCTAGGACAAACAAATTTTTACAGTGCATTTTCATTACACTGAAGATATGGCTGCAGGGGTAGGGTGTTGAACAGCCATTTCCTGGACACTTTTTCTTTAGCATATGATGCAAGAGGGTTTTTTGCATATCATGATAAATATCTTGAAAGTTGAAAGGGGTTTTAACTTTGCAAAGAAGTTATAGGTATATAAAACCAAGTGAAAAAGAGATAAAATGGAATTTCATAGAACATGAAAAATAGGGGAGTATTTGATACATGTGAGTACATTTCACCAAGATGTGCCCTTTATATTTGACTTTTTACATATAAATGTACTTGAAATAGATTAAAATTACCATTTAACACTTTTTTGCTGGTATATTTATCATCTGGAGTTGTTAGAATTGCATTTGTTTTATGTGTAAGAAACAATATGGGGTTAAGGTGGTTGACCGAGAATTGGTGAGGTCTCTTATTTGGCCATAACTTTTTTATTTTTCAATGAATCAAGACATATTTGGTATATTTTTACTCAGAATTGCATGTTCTTTTTGAATTGAGCAAGGTTTATTACTTTCAAGACAAAATTTGAAAGTTAAAGGTGGCAGAGGATAGTTTCGAATAAAGTACCGGTCAAAAAATAGAAAAAATAAAGAAACCTGAGGTTTGAAGGCATATTCTAGGTAATTTTATAGCTAGAATATTTTATGGGTGCATTTGGAGGGAACTGGTGGCCTTGTATATTTTATTGAAATATGACACTCTGGTGTCACTACTACTGTATATGGGATATGGACTAGAAATACGAAACTAAGCTCAAAACTCGCTCTACCGGTATTTCACCAGAAAAGCGGGGTGGGTTCACAGGATGAATTGTAGCTTGAAAACGAGGTGGTTGAGCCATTATCTCTTGCTGTTCATTGGTATGTACAAATGTTATTCTGCAATTTGTGTGGTAGCTTAGGTCAGGGGCACGGGCCTGGAAGCAGATGTGGCTGCGGCGAAATAGTGAAAATAGGCTTGATTCTCATGAAATTTTGAGATTGTCCCTGCGCCATCTTTGGGGCTCATTGTGTAAGTTGTACATGTTTTATTCCTAAAAGCTTCAAATTTCTCAAGGGACTACATCATACTATTATTACATGTAGAGGGAATTTAAAATTTTTCAATGCACATTTTTAAAGCAGCTCAATAGTAAGTAAACCGTCAGTCAAACGTTTTGATTGCAAAAAAAACTATCCTCTGCCACCTATATTTATCTAATACAGATAATTCATGGGTTTTTTTGTCGAGAAGTTTTTTTCTTTGTGACTTAGGAATGTTAAAGGCTTATTGACGTTAATAAATTATTATTGAATTCTTGAATATATTTTCAAGATATTGCTGCCGACTGGGACTGTAGTGGATATTTCAATTTACTGGGATACTGATAACGGCTGGTTTTTAAAAATCAGGATATACCCATCGACTTCAGATGTTGAAAACGTAGAAGGATTATGTGGAAATCTAGATGGAAATTGGAGAAATGACCGCAGAGGAAGAGATAATGTCCTTTACAACAGATATGAAAATAATCCTGATAACTTTTCACGAACCTGGAGGTATATATACTATTATTTATTTTTTCTCAACTTATCCAAGGCAATTACCAGGAAAAGCGTTTTTAGACACAATTTGCTAGATAAAACATTCTGAATATATGGTTCTCATTACTTTTATTCATCATGAGCTGAAAGCTCATGACCTTTTTTGATAACATTTTGCCCGTCTCCCGTCTAGCTTTTACCTTTAGTCTTTTCACATATTTGACTTCTTCTCCGGAACAAATGGAGCCAGAGTGGATGACCAAATTTTTACTTAGGAATATAAAAGAAAAATAAGATCGTTAAAAATACAATACTCAAAAACAGCAAAAGTATCCTCAATTTGTGTAGATTCACATTTCTTCAAATGATGATCCCTGGGGATGTAGGGTGGGGATCAAAGTTTTACATAGGAAACCATAGGATGTAATCTTCATATATCTTCTCAAGGACAGAAAATCCTTATGTTTAATCGTATTAATAGTGAAGTTTTTTTTCTTAAAGTGTTGATTAAGATTTGTTAAAATGATGACCCCGGAGTAAGGGTTGGGCAACGATGGGGGATCAAAGTTTGAAATGGGAATATATTTGTATAGAAAAAATGTAATTGATGGCTCAAAAGCCATATTTAGTTATATTGATATGAAATATGAAAGCTGACGTGCAGATTTAGATTTTGATCAAATGATTACACCCTTGGTAGAGTGAAACCACGATGGGTAATCACGTTTTAGATAGGAATCTTTCTCAGTCATTTATTTTATTTCTAAAAGAAATCGCAATTAATAGAATCCCAATTAATATATTTCTACCGCCTAAAAATAGTTTGCATTAGCAGGCTTGCTTTGGATAATAGATATACTAAACTATACAATTATAATTCATTGAAGCTCTTTATTGTGTTTTAGAGTCAGAAGCTTCGAAAACTTATTTATCAACAGCGAAGACGTACACAGTAGATTTCAATCAATCTCAAACACAATGATGCGTGTTTGTGTATGTGATAATTCAACAGGATCCTGGCAAACTTATTGTAACTATGGGGAAGTTTTACGATTGGATTGTAAATTTACTGTTGGAAAAAGATATCCTTGTATTACACATCCAGACACCTTGAAGCGACGGAAACGGGATCTAAATTACCTGCAAAGCCTAAAAAAGTTACAGAAATCATTAAATAGGGATAACAAATTTGAGATCCAGGTATATCTTGTAAATCAGCACTAAACCAGTACTTTCATTGGTTATTTTGCTCTCGATATCACAGTTCTTGGGGCTGGATCCATCCCCTTCCCCTTTTCTTTTTTTTTGTCGTTTTAAATCTTGGGCCGACACACATTTTTCCTATTTTGGTGGTTTAATAAGCATTTTTTGATATCGATAGTGTTACCCTTTTTGTCTTCACAAGCCGTTTTGAAATATATCGTTTTCGACTGAAGCATAAAAAGAGAGAAGGCTTGCAACTCTTTTCTCGTTATCTGTCTCACCTGTCTTGCTTAAACTTTATGTGATTGTTTATATCAATCAGAATAAAACATGGGGCACACATACATCAGTAAATTTGTTAAATATTCCTTTTTCTTTTTAAATTTAAATTTCAATATTAGTGCCCTTGATTTGTACCGGTAAATAATTCGATTAAATCCCTGACTTCTAGGATATATTTTTTACGTGTGCACCAGCTGGTCGCGGAAGTGAAAGAACGATGACACCATAATCTTAAAATTCTTAACAATGCTTTGCATAGAAAAGTTTCTCTGTCTTGTACAATGCAAGAAATAATGTGAAATTTGGTTGTGAAGGTCTTTTATTAAATATTAATCTACATCCATCAGAATCAGCTTTAGATAATCATTTTTTGTTATATATAGAACTTACATTTAAATTTGACGAGGAAATCTAGATTTCTTCTCAATATTAATGTTCCGAACGATATTACCCTGATGATGAAGCCAAAAATACCGGGTACTTCTGTTACCCGCTGATGCACACCAACAAAAACTTGCCGGAACGAGTGATTTAATCGAAATATGAAAAGGAAGAGGAATGTGTAACATATTTTATTGTTGTATGCAACTCCTATATTTTGTTCTGATTTAGATAAATAATCAAGCGAACTTTAAAGAGATGATGCGGATGACGACAAAGAGTTGAAAGCTTTTTCTCTTTTTATGTATCAGTCGAAAACGATATATGTAAAACGGCTAATGGAAAAAAAGGCTAACATTATCGATGTATTACATCTAATGCTTATAAACAACCAAGATAGGAAAAAAAGTGTATCAACCTCAGATTTTAAAAGAAACAAAATGGAAAGGGAGAAGGGACAACCCAAAGTGCCTGTGCTCGATATCAGTAATTTCAGTTTAGTGTGAAGAGTTGCATTACGTCATGATCTTTTTCGACAGACGCATGCATCCAGCGTAAAAAATACAACTGCCATATTACTAAAATTGACAAGGAAATAGTCTGTTGCACAAGCAACCAATGAGGGATTGGAAGAAACTTCCAGTCGTAAACCTTGCGGTTAGGAGGGGTGTACTAATTTACCTTGAGCGCAGCTGTCATCAAAGGTTGTGACGAAATGCAAAACTTTACACTAAACTGAAATTACTATTATATAACAATTGATTGATTTTATCTTGTTTTTAACTCTCTCGAGAAGTTTTCACTCATATGGAGGCGCCAACAATTGCCGATGGAGAGCTGCAAATTTTGCTCGGCACT